GGCAAATACTTATTTTGTCAAACTTCTTTTGGGGAGGGGGGAAGAAAACTACAAAAAAGCTCTCCATAGATGAGATGGGAAAATACTCCATTTGATCATTGAGGAAGAACGACAAGGTGCCCACAGTGACTGCATCAGAACAGAAAGAGTGACAGTCAAGGCAGCTTTTCTAAACCCCTGGTGTCACAGCAGCAGACCTCAACCCCAGGTTGGGGTGTCAGGCAGCCTTAGAAATCACTCCATGACTCCGAGCCCCTCACTGTCCTGGTGAGGCAATGAAAGTGCAGGTTCCTTCTTCCGGGCCTCTGAGTGGAATTGATCTGCAGCCTGCTTGGACAGAGCCATCCTATGCCCTGGTGCAAAACTTCATCCTGCCAGAGCCTACTGAGAGCTCAGGAGGCAGCGAAACCAGTCACAAGGAATTTATAATTGCTTCCCTCAAGTCCTCTCTTAATCTTTATACTTACAGAATATTCCCTTCTGGTTAAAGTCATAATATAATATGATAAATTTACATAGCTGATGAAGTAAGGGGCTCATCCATTTCATACACCTGATTCCTTGAGCTTTTATACTAGAGTAGGGAGGCCACTAATATTTTATCTTGTTTCAGCCTGAGAGAAATTACAGCTCAGAATTGCAAGCAGAGCAGCAAAATTGAAAAATAATTAAAACGTAAACAAAGGGGATAAGCAAACTAATGGATTACAACATGAAGGATATAAAACGATTATGTGTTTTGTATGACAGTCCAAATAAGAGCTATCTTTAGGATTTTTTTCTTCTAAAGTACACTTTGGCTACTGATGAAATTTAAAATATTTAGCAATTAAGTTGTATAATTTACAGTTATAATCACCTAATAGTGAAATGATTGATTCAAATGGGGGATAGGAGAGAATGAAAATAATTATCAAATCTTGTGGTCAATATCCAACTGACTCAAAGCAACAATTTCCAAAGTTTGACCAATTACAAATTACTCATTAAAGATCTCATTAGAAAATGGGAAAATGTAGAAACATTTTGACAAAGATCTCGAGTCCTTTACTCTTGTAGTAAAGAATAAAGTGGCTAGAATGTTTCATTTATAAGACAGATGGAGAATAATACTGCATCCCAGCCACTTAAATTTTTAAATAAAAACAATGAGACAGATGATCATGATGATACTGATAATAACTGACAGAGGTTAAAATCTTTGAGTGCTTACTATGTACCAGGCATTGTACTAATTGCTTCACATGTAGTCATTTAATTTTCAAAACAAACCAACAATTACTCTCATTTTACAGAAGTTGGAAAAGCAGTCTGAACCATGATTAAAAGCAGGCATGTTGGAACCAACCTGTCTTGCTCATCTATAAAATGATGCAAATCACACTATCTACCTCGTACGGTGTGTTGTGAGGTTTAAGCACCTGGACAAAAACAAAGACCTTAGAAGAGTGACCAGCAAGTCTGAAGTGCTAACTGTTAATATTGATGTGATCACCGAAAAGAAAAAAAGGGGCACAGGGAGAGCTGCACTGTCCAAGGCTACTATGGCAGAGCCAGGAAAAGAACCCAGGCAGACTGGTCCCAGAGGCAGGGCTCCGACACCTCACGCTGTGCTGCCTGACACTGACTGAAATTCTTTTATGTGCCAAGACTACAGGTGTTTTGATTCTGTTTGCATTTTTGTTAATTTTTATTTATTTTTTTCAGTGCTACAGGCTAAACCAAGGGCCTCTCAAATGCCAGGCAGGGGCCCTACTGCTGAGCTACATCCCCAGTTCTTGTAGACACTTTTTAAAAATTTTGCCTTTATTTTTTCATTGGTTCTCTTTTAGATATACATGAGAACATGGAGAATAACGTATTCTAATTAGGATCCCATTCTTGTAACCACAAGAACTGATATGAAGTTACACTGGTCGTGTATTCATACGTGAACACAGGAAAGTTATATCTGGTTCATTCTACCATCTTTCCTATCCCTTCCCTTCATTCCCTTTTGTCTAATCCAGTGAACTTCTATTTTCCCCATTCCTCTTACTGTGTACTAGCATCCACATATCAGAAAGAACATTGGACCTTTGGGTTTTGGGGATTGGCTTATTTCACTTAGCATGATGGCCTCCAGATCTTTTTATATGACTTCATTTCAACCTCACAACAACCTTATATCTCAATTTTACAGAGATGAAAACCATTCATGCTAGATAGTGCCCAGCAAAGTGGGGACACCACAGCAACAAAAATGTGGTAGTGCTACTCACTGGGAACTCAGATTTAGAGACAGTAAGAGACTTGCCAGCCATTTGGAGCAAACCCAAGTCTAAATGCTCTCTTGGATCTGACAGTGTCAGACAATGTTGAAACAGGGAGTTTCTTAGGCATAAACAAACAAACAAAAACATTTTTAGTGAGAGAAGGAAGAGAGGAGGCAACTAATGAGGAGAGAATAGAGTTCTTTGGCAGGTAGGAAACCTGTGTATGACAAGGCCCAGTCTCTCTGGGTTAGTGACCATCTTAATCCTTTACGTGCCCAAAGCGGGGGCATTTCCCCCACAGTAATAATACTTAATAAAGTACCACAAAGAATGAATGAGAAACCAATATTCACTTAAATTGTTTAAAATACCCTGGAGTGAAGAACAGCTGTATGCCTGGAGTCTGGCATACAGGTGTTCGTTCAATCAACTATATGTGTATACATGAAACATCAAATAAATAAGTCATGTCAATTATACACATATGTACATACCCATGAGCTTACACATTTATTTCTAATTCTACCCAGGAATCTGAGGGCAAAAACTCTGAAAATTTTCTTTCAGCTCATCTCCTATGACCTGAGTTACTGATTCTATCCAAAGAAGCTAGATAGGTGGGTCTGCAGAATCAAACCAATCAAACTGGTAGTTCCAGATGGCCTCAGATGAAGCTTGACAGAACAGAGCAGGTAACAGTGGCCTTCCTTCCTATACAGCCTTGACCTATACCACTCATAATTATGCTTTCCAGTGACCTTGACTCTGCACCTAAACAGAATCTATTCCTCGTCTAATTACTGATTCACTGGTTTCATTCTTCTCTATGTCCTGTAGATATGTGGTTATGTTACTGTTGTTTAATAAAATCACAAAATCTCAAAGAGCAGGATTTGTGTATCCTTTTGAGAAATAAAATGAAATTCAAATTGACTTTTGCCCATTGAATAAGTTCAAAAGAAATAAACAGCAAGAGCAGTTTAAATTTAGAAACATCTGGGCTGAGGATGTAGCTCAGAGGTACAGTGTTGGCATGCATGAGGGAGGCCCTGAGTTCCCTGCCAAGCACTGCAAATAAATAAATAAATGAATGAATAAATGAACAAATAAATAAATAACTTAATTAGCTTATAAGCAGCCCACCAATAAATTAATAATTTATAAAATCTCTGAGAAAGTAGTAAATGCACTAAGTTGGGGATCCCTGGACAGGCTTGCTTGTGTAATATCAATAGAAACTCATAGAAGGCAACATCTTTAACATTATAAGAGCACAACAGGTGAATTTATTAAAATGTTACAACATATGTAATCTTGACTGAAAAAAATTAGTGTGACTATTCTAACTGGATCAGCAGATTTAAAAACTTCAAGGTGAAGGCAGTAGGTCAACCAGGCTATGAATCTTCAAATGTTCCACTTTTTATATAGTTTTTGACAGCCATAGGGTGTCCTATGTTTTAATGTCATAATGGTATCTGGAGGCTAAATTGCTACCAAAAGCACACCCATGCCATGGCTTAGTGACCACGGCTAATACAGCATCTCTGGCAGGTAAGGCACCTTGCTCACTTGTCTGGACAGCTGCAGCTGTTGGTGCCATTAGTTGGACCATTCACCTTTGCCTTCTTCAAGAGAAGGTCTGCCCTAAGGGTGGCCTCTCCTTCAGGTTCTCTGCTTTCTCTGGAAAGTGGGATTTCTCTCTCTTTCCCTCCATTTTCCCCTCATGAATCAAATTATGCAGTAGTTCCTCTTGTCCCAAGATACATTCCAAGAACCCCCAGTAGATGCCTGAAACCACAGCTACTACTGAGCCTTATATATACTATATCTTTTTCTAGTCATATATGTATACATAACTATGATAATTTTTTTCTGTTACATATTACAAACTTTAAATTTGATATATTAATCACAGTAGAGAGAATAACAACAGTCACAGTAAGAGGTTAACAACAGTAATTAATGATAGGACAAGTATAACAATATACTATAAAAATGTTATGAATGTGATCTTTATCAAAGTATCTTATTTACTGTATTCATCCTTTTTCTTGTGATGATATGAGATGGCACAGTGCCTATGTGATGAGGTGAAGTGAGGTAAATGACACAGATACTGTGACATAGTGTTAGGCTATTTTGTGTAAGGGTACATAAACACAAGTCTTGCAGGACCTTGACAGTTGACCTGATAGCTGAGATAGTTACTAAGTAACTAACAAGTAGGTAGTATATACAGCGTGGATACAGTGGACAAAAAGGTATGATTCAAATCCTTGAGAGGACAGAGCCAGACAGCTCCAGATTTTATCTTGCTACTCAGAGTGGAACACAATTTAAAATTTGTAGTTGGGCTGGAGATGTAGCTAAGTGGAAGAGTATTTGCCTAGCATTCATGAGGGCCTGGGTTTGAACCCCAGTCCAGCACTGCAAAAATGAAAAACAAAATGTCATTATGAATTGCTGATTTCTGGACATTTCCATTTAGTATTTTTTTGGATACATAATGAATAACTGAAACCGCAGGCAGTGAAACCTTGTGGGAAGTCCTGTAAATAGGATTGGCAGTTCAGGGTCCTTCTTGTGAAATACCTTTATACCAAAACTAAATACTTTATTCCCACCAAACGACTATTTACAGAACACAAAAGGTAAAATCTGTATCATCTGCAAACACCTGTTCCCCTCACCACCCTGAATAGAGGAAGGCACAGCAAGGAGCTGCTGCAGAACTGACGGTACCTGAGGATCCAGAGCCCCTTCAGCTTCTGTCACAGTCACACGCTTGTCACTGTCCTCCTCATCCTGTTCAACTGCTTAAAGAAAAAAAGAACAAGAGAAAACAAATGTAGCACCATAAGAAAAATGCTTCACGTAATTTTCTTTCAGGCAGCAATATGGCAGGAAAAATGATAGAAGGTGGATTTATAAAATTTAAATTGCAGCACTATTTCTTTGTTTGTTTACCATTTCTTGATATTTGGATGAAAAGTTAAATATATCACCGGACATTTTTCATGTACATTATCCATCTATTAAATCCATGGGAGCAGGAAAATTTAATCTCAATTCTTCACCTAAATCCAACCTGACATCATAGCAGTGTTGTGCTTCACCAAAGGGAATCTGGGATACGGATAAAGGTTTCTATTGAGAGGAATCATTTTTTTTCCCCTTTTATGAATGAGGTTTTCTGGCAGGCTGTGTAAGTGTCATATAATAAAAGAAACACAATATTTTATATATTGGTTGCTTGGTGCATTGTTACCACAAAATTCTAAACTGTGGAGTCCTGAATCCACCTCTCTGTTCCCCAACATGTCTCTGTCCAAGTCCTTATCTCCCTTCCCTCACTGTTGCAATAACCTCCTACGCTAAGCCCTTGATTTCAGCTTCTTCCTTATTCAGTCCAGCTTGGGCACAACTGCTAAAATAATCAGTCTCAAAAAATATAAAAACAAGTGCCAGGTGTTGGCCTATGTATTATTTATTTTACTAAGTGAACTTCTGCTCATCACTGAATGCCTTCCCCCAAGACTCTAGCTTCCTCTGAATCTCTATCTTCACACTAACATTCAGCAACAATAAAAAAAAAAAAGTGTTCTATGCAACTCAAATCAAAGAGTGATGACTAGCTCCATGAAGCATAAATATTATCTGGGGAAATAGTCAATAACAACTATTACTATAACTGGTAATTAAAGAAAAAATAAGATGAAATTAAAAGTCACAATAAGGGCCTTAAAAGAACAAATAGGAGCTGGGTGCAGTGGCACACGCCTATAATCTCAGCAATTCAGGAGGCTCAAGCAGGAAGACTATAAGTTCAAGGATAGCCTGGGCAACTTAATGAGACCCTTGCTCAAAATAAAATTTAAAAAGGCTAGGGATACAGCTCAGTAGTAAAGCAAACTTGGTTTCAATCAGCAGGAAAGAAAAAGAAAGAAAGAAAGAAAAAGAGAGAAGAGAGTAAGTGAGTGAGTGGGGGAGGATGGCAGAAGACCAACTAGCAGAGGTCACTGTATAGAGAGGGTCATGGGCAGTGCTTCTCTAAAAAAGTGGTCCTGGTGGGCTGGGGTTGCGGCTTAGTGGTGGAGCGCTCGCCTAGCACCCATGAGGCAGCGGGTTTGATCCTGAGTATCACCTAAAAGTAAATTAAGGGTATTGTGTCCACCTACAAACTAAAAAAAAAAAAAATTTAAAAAAAAGAAGTGGTACTGGGGCCCAGACTTGAAGGTTGAGGTGAATGAAGCTACACATGGCAGAGGACAGTGACATGAGACAATCCTGAACACAGTACAGTCCACAATAAATTTAGATTTGATCTTAAGAACATGGGGAACCTTTAAAGAATTTTACATGAGAAATTGTGTGATTTGATATATGTGCTCCTTTCTTCTTTTTGGCTTCTTCACAGAGAACAAAATCAAGTGGAAGTAGGGAGACCAGTTAGGCAGCTATTGCTACCATACTGTCTGGAAAGGACAAGGGCTTAGACCAGAGAGTGACAATGAGCAGGAGAAACTGCATGACTTGAGTTGTATTTCTTTTTTCTTTCTTTCTTTTTTTTTTTTTTTACACAAAATGGACACAACTTGCCTGTGAACTGAACAGGGGAGAAGAGGGAGAGGCAGGGGTCAGTGATCCCTGCAAAGCAGGATAAATTATTCCTTGTATCCACCATGACATTTACCCTTTCTGCCTTCTCCATCAAAAACATAGCAACCTCACTAACGGGAAGTAACCTGCTGTACTTATGGATTCGCTTTGCATTATTTTGTGTACTTTTAAATATTTGCTCTCTGCTCTGTATTTTTTAGAATATCATTTCATGCGCCTTTTGCTTTTGTATGCCTTTTATTCCTGGGGTGCAGCACTCAGCATGGAGCCCCCTACAGTGCTGTGAATACAGCACTACTCAGCAAGCCCTGACTGGGACCGACAATTCATCCCCGAGTGACCACAATGGCACTACTTGACAACACCTACTTACATAATAAGCTACTTTTTTCTAAGCTATTTATGAAAGAAGAAGGGAAGAAGAAAAATTCTGTTAACTCCACAGACCACCAAGGTAAGTCCTGCCAGCTAAGCATCTATAGGTAGGCAAAAACAGTGGAAGGGGGCAGAGACTTTTCTCCTCTTTTAAGAAAAAAATATATATGTGCCATTCATACTTGTTCTGTAGCTACTGTTACCCAGTTAGGAGGAAACTTCGAATAAAGAAAAACACTCATGTTTTCTTGGAAAAACTAGAGGTGAGAATTCAAAGGAAAAACAAAATCTAGAATAACACCCTAAACTCCACTTAAAATGGCAGAGGGCTGCAGAAGTGAGGAATTCCATTTAATCAACTGAAATGAGAAGTACTATCCTGGAGGGTAAGTTAGTGATACACCAAGCCGGATCACATCACATGAGGAGCAGTCACACTTGGGTATTTCATTTGTGCTTTATTTGAATTTTTGCTCTTTAAAGCTTTAGTTTTGATGAATAATGAAGAAAATTAAATTCTGGAGTATTTTAGCCTACTAAATTTATTTTAAAAATATATTTTTTAGACTCTTTCTGCCTCGGCCTCTCCATTCTGATGCCATGTAATGAACTGCTCCCTCCGCCATACCCTTCCACCATGCTCTTCAGCCTCATCATGAGCCCAGAGGAATAGATTGGCCATCGATGGACTGAGACCTCTGAAAATTTTGTGCTTCTGTTCAGCAAGAACTGGAAGATGACCCCAAAATGGTATTCCCTCTCAGCAAGGCTCTCCAGGGACCTCAGACTCACACAACCAATGTGGAAAAGAAACCTAAAAACATCTTTGGAACAGATCTTAATACAGATCAGTCCCTTTGTGGATGAGCAGTTAAAGGCAGAACCACTACAAAGGCAGAACCACTATGTAACATGTTCTCCCTAAATTGCCAAGAGTTCTGGAACTTGTGATCCTCTTGCCTCAGCCTCCTGAACTGCTGGGATTACAGGTGTGAACCACCCCACACAGCTGAGGAAGGACTCTTTACAACTGAGAAGAGCTATCTGCAATAGGAGAAAGAAAGAGATGAATAGTGTTATGCATAGTTCTGTATTAACAAGGGCATTTGAATACTCATGAGTTGTACAAAAATGAAACAGATTACTTCCTTAACTGGTTAGATGCTGATCTCTGAAGGTTTGCAAGCCAATACTGGATTTTGTGCAGAAGTAACAGAGAGAACCATCAGATAGAAAATTTGAATCACAAGCCTTGTCTTCTAAGTAGCCCCAAATCCTGTGAACCACATGAATGGTACATTTGTCAAGCACTGTTCTCACACACAATATTTATGGTACCCTTCAAGGGTATAGCAGGATGTTGGGAGAGGTTTATCTAGCTTCTCAGAAAGGAATATGAGGTTAATGTGTCAAAGCTCTGTGTATACCTAACAATTTGGCGATTCATTGTATATATACTTCACATGAAAGTTAAAAGTACTTTAAATAAATATTGAAGTCTCTTAATGATAATGATATGTGTGTGTGTGTGTGTGTGTATTTTAGTTGTAGATAGACACAATATATTTATTTTTATGTGATGCTGAGGATCAAACTTGCCTTACATGTGCAAGGCAAGCGCTCTACCATAAAGCTAACAGCCCCAGGCCCTAAATTCATTTTTTTGTTTTGTTTTGTTTTAAAACAACAAGGTACTTGGGTGTAAACATTTCTTTTTCTTACCTTACTAACCTAGGACATTAAACATTCAGGACAATGAATAACAATTTTGTGTTGTTGAGATTTAGGCATAATTCTTAATATGTGAAATAGAATTACAGTTATTGATAATACCTGTCAAGTTGTTCATTCTCATCGTTTAAAACATTAAAATTACAGCCGGGTGTGGTGGTACACATTGTAATTCCAGTGGCTTGGGAGGCTCAGGCAAGAGGAATATGAGTTCAAAGCCAGCCTTAGCAAAAGTGAGGCACTAAGCAACTCAGTGAGACTCTGTCTCTAAACAAAATACAAAATAGGGTTGGGGATGTGGCTCAGTGGTCAAGTGCCCCTGAGTTCAATCCCCAGTACTCCCTCAAAAGAAAAGAAAAGAAATAGAGTTACAGGAGGATCATACAAACATACAACCAAACTTAGGGTAGAAAGTCAGTTCTTTTTTTCTATCTTGTTGGCAACATAATGCTTGCTTTGTTCTTTCATTCACCCATTTGTGTTACTTGGGACTGAACCTCCGGCCTCCTGCATGCTAGGCAAGCTCTCTACCACAGAAGTATATCCCCAGCTCTCAAATGTTACATTTATTGTTGCAGCTTTGCAGACTTCAAAATCTATTGTCTGGCATTACACTTAAATTAACAGAGAGGGGAAACTGAGGCTGGTCATGGGACTCTAGTTTGCATACTGGAGAGACTTTCTGCTGGACTCTGAACCTCAATACTCTGAGGTGAAGAAATGACAATATTCTAACATATAAATAACATTATTTTCTTGGAAATACTGAAAAATCATAATTCCAAGGATGCATTTTAGCCACTGGCTTATATATACCACTTGGGAACAAAAACTTGTTTACCCTGGACTTCCAAGGATTTATGATCACCCCATGAAGTCACATGCATGAAATGCGTGGCTGGAGCCATCTAAAAAGGAATGCTCACTCTGCTGAACCTTTCATAGGCAGATTAATGTTAATGTCAGAGAATAAATTAGGAGACAATTTCCCTCTTCATACCTCCTAGTAGTGAGGTACTGTGTGGTATAAGGAGGAAGCAGAAGCTGTCAGATTTGAGTTTAGTTTTTCTTTTATCTGATCAAATAAAGG